CCACGCTCCTCGGGGCCGCGGCGGGACCGAGCAGCATCCACGCTGCGGTGCTACCCACCGTGAAACGGGCCCGGCAGCCGCGCGGCGCGAGCCAACCGGGGCCCGGCCAGCCCGCAGGGAGCCAATCCGCGGCGCGGGAGGCGGGGCCGACGAGTTAGGGTGTGCCCACCGCTCGTCTCCACGCAACGCGCGCGCATCCACCTGGGCGCGCCGGCCCGCGCAGCTCGCGGGCGCGGGGACCTGAAGGTGCGGAGGACTAGGGACCGGGGTCAAGGGGTTCACGGAGGATGGGGAGGTGTGGGGACAGGGGAATGAGCGTATGGGGGTGCGAAGGACGCGGGGACAGGGGTCAGGGGGTGCCCAAGGGACAGTGTGGTGCGAAGGACACGGGATGCCGGAACACGGGGATGGGGAGGTGCAGAGGACGGGAGAGGGGGCGGGGCAGAGGGGTTGGTGGGTGGGTGGGGGAACGGGCATAAAGACAGGGGAGATGCAGAGGACTTGGGGCTGTGGACATGGGACACTGGGGTGGCGACCAGGGTGTGTAGGGATGGAGACAATGGAAAGCACAGGCTATGGGTTGGGGGACAGTGGGGACACAGGGAGCAGAGGACTCCAGGAAATAGGGGACACCAGGGGCTTAGGGAACGTGGAGGGAAAGCTGGAGGTTGGGGTACAGCCTGGCCTTGGAGTTGGAGCAAGCCTATAGAAAATAGTGCAACCAGGAGGAATGGGGCTCAAAGTGGAGGAAAGGGGAAGGAAATTTGGGGGAGAGACACAAGTGGTAGGTGATGATGATGGGTGAGGGGGGCAGGAGTGTATGTGTGTGGGGGGGTCTTGCCATGGAGGTGAGACTGAGGAGGATCTCAAAAGCAGGTGGCTTCATCCTGGCAGCCAGGGTCTTTCCTGGCTGCCAGGTGAATGGGCAGCAGAGGGGCAACTGAAGGCAGAGTGAAGATGGAGAGCAGTTGCACAAGCAGAGGGGCAGGACACACCGGAAGGGGCAGGAGGGGTGCACAACACGGCTTTTCCACTCTGGACTGGAGCGCTGGGGTCTGGGGTGCAGCTCTCGCTGAGCTGGTGGCAGGAGGGGAGTATGGGTGGGTGATGAAATTTGCCCCACTTGGTTCCCATTCTTGCCTGGGCCACTACAGGCCCCCCCCTCTGCCCAGCGGCCAGCCTGACCCTTCTCCCTTTCTCTCTTCCTCCACCTATTCCAGTTCTGTGTTACTGTGCAACACACCACCCCAACAGGAGCGGTGTGAACCAGCTACTGGGGTTCGTAGATTCTGTGGGTCAGGAATTTAGACAGAGCCCAACAGGACAGCTTTTCTCTGCTTTACGACAGGACAGGCCTCAGGTGGGAAGAGTGAATGGCTGGGGGCGACCCTGATGGCCGGGCCAGACTTGGCTGCACCCTCGTGTTGGTGCCCAGCCAGCATGGTTAAGCAGAACACCTGGATGGGGCCGCTTCCAGGAGGTGGCCTCGGGGCTCCAGCAAAGGGGGCAAAGCGCCTGTTGGGTTACCACACATCAGTTCTGCCACATGCAGTCGCAGGCCACCCAGGTTTGAGAGGAGGGGACAGGGACCCCCACCGCATCCTGGACACATTGTGCAGGAAGTTGCAGTCTTGCTGTGACCTGCCACACTATCCTCTGTCCTTTCATTTTAACCGCGGGGCCCAGAATCAAGCAGGCCACATCCCACCGTTAGGGTCTTCAAACCTCCTCACCCACCACCTCCCGTCCCTGCCCTTCCCCCCTCCAATCCACCTTCCACATTTACGTCATCTGCACACTTATTAAAACATACCAAATTGTGTTTTAAACATATTAACAGTGGCGTGCTTATGTTTCTTTTATTTTCTCTAAGCCACATGTCGGTATGCCTGCTAGCGAGTCAGGTCAGTTATCTTCGGAATACGGCAGAGCACTGCTGACGGTCCGTGCTGCGACTCACTGTGGGGCTGGCCAAAGGCTCCAGACACCCAAGACTATCGGATCCACCGAGTCCTGTGGCCCAGATGGCCGAGAGCTTACGTGGCAGCCTGGGCCTCCTGCAGCTCCTCCTTTTGCTCTGGGTTACTCAGGTAAGGGGTTGGAGTAGTGACCCAGATGAGGTACAACTGTCTCCCAGAGGGCAAGACATGCCAGTCACTGTCTGTTTCTTTGTAGAAGGGACTGGACACAGCCACTTGCTTGGCACTTAGGAAGGGGTGTCTCCTGGGCCCCTAGACATTTCAGATGTGGAAAGCCTTGGACTTTTTGTGGAATGTATTTTTCACTGGGCCTACCGAGGATAATTGCCGCTTTCTGCTCATCAATTCGGTCAACGTGATGTCACCAATGTAATGGTGTGAGGTCCAGTGGAGAGGAACAGTGACCCAGTCCCCATGGACTTGCTTCGGTAATAAAACCAAGTCAGCAACAGCAGCTGCAGTTGGAGTCACCACCTGGTCATGCTCAGTCTGTTGTCATTGTCCGAGACCCCCGCCTTCAGCATCAGCTGGATCGGAAGGGCAAACAGGGGTGTGATGGGGATTACCACCCCTGCACCTTTCAGGTCCTTGTTGGTGGTACTGGTCTCTGCACTCCCTCCAGAGATGCCTTACTGCTCTTGCTTTACTATTTTCCCAGGTAGGAGCGGTTCTGGGGTTCCACCTGGCCTTTCCCACCGTTCCATGGGACCCCCATTCCAGGGACCAGGAAACCAAGATGGGATTCTGCTAACTGCCAATCATGCATTCTGCAACAGGGTACTAACCACTGGTAGGTTCAGGGACCCTCTGGGCCCAGAGTAAGATGGGCATGACCAGAACACCATTGATCACCTACCCTCCATAAGCCCCTACCCTGACTGGTGGTCACAGTGGTATTTTGGGTCTCCAGGAATCAATGTCAGTTCAGAGCCAATGTCCCTGAAAAGCCTGGGATTTCTTCTTTCCTATTACAGCCATGTGGTAAGTGGCCCTTTAGGGGCCTCAAGGGCACTGGCCTTGCCCTCATCCAAGGGGCCTTTGGGTATGGACTGGCTTAAACCTGGAAATTGGTTAGGGGTCCATGACTTTCTATCACAGTGACTCAAGTAAAACTTTTTGTCGTGGACTGAGTGTTTGCATCCCCCCAAATTCCTGTGTTGAAGCCCTAATCCCCAGTGTGATGGCATTTGGAGATGGGGTTTGGGAGAGGTAGTTAGGATTAGATGAGGTCCTGAGGGTGGGGCCCTGGTCTCATGGGATTAGTGTGCTTAGAAGAAGAGACACCAGGGAGCTTGCTGTTTGTCATGCACACACACCAAGGAGAGGTCACGTGTGCACACTGACATGGTGGCCACTTGCAACCCAGTGGAGAGCTCACACCAGAGCCCCACCACACTGGCATCCTGGTCTGAGACTTCCAGTGTCCAGAACTGCAAGCAAATTTCTGTTGTTTAAGCCCCACCCCCCACCCCCAGTCCATGGTATTCCATTCACTTGTATTCACCATGCCTAGAGCTATTCTGCTTATACAAATCAAGTGGGACTCTGGCAGGCTCCTCATGATTTTAGTCCCAGGGGTACCATGATTTCTGAGGGTCAAAATATCCTGGTTAAGGGGCACCTGGGTGGCTCAGTCGTTAAGTGTCTGCCTTCGGCTCGGGTCATGATCCAGGGTCCTGGGATTGAGCCCCGCATTGGGCTCCCTGCTCGGCGGAGAGCCTGCTTCTCCCTCTCCCACTCCCCCTGCTTGTGTTCCCTCTCTCGCTGTGTCTCTCTCTGTCGAATAAATAAATAAAATCTTAAAAAAAAAACAGTTTTAGATTTATAGAAATACTGAGCATGGAGCACAGAGTTCCAATAGGGCTGCCAATCCCAGTTTCCCTATTATTAACATTGTGCCTTAGTATGGTACATTTGTCACAATTAATGAGCCAGTATTGATCCATCATTGTTAACTGAAGTCCACACTTTATTCAGATTTCCTGAGTTTCCCCCTAATGTCCTTTTCCTACTCCAGGACCTCACCCAGGACCCCACATGACATTCAGTCGTCATGTCTCCCGAGGCCCCTCTGGGCTGTGACAGCTTCTCAGACTTTCTGTTTTTGATGACCTTGACAGCTTGGAGGAGGACCAGTCAGGTATATTGGGTTGGATGAGTAGGATGACGCAGTATTGGAATTTGCTGTTTTTTTCATGATTAGGCTGGGGTTCTGGCGTTTGGGAGGATAAGCACAGAGGCGAAGTGCCACTGTCTTCACTTCATGTCAGGTACACACGATTGACCTGACGTGCCACCGTGACGCTGACCTGGATTGCCTGGCTGTGGTGTGCTTGTCAGGTGTCTCTACGGTGCTGTTGCTCGCTGTCCCTCCTTCGTCCTGTGCTCTTTGGAAGGAGGTCCCCCTTCGTCCTGTGCTCCTTGGAAGGAGGGCCCCCCTTCGTCCTGTGCTCCTTGGAAGGAGG